CACACTCTTCAGGGGGCTGCAATCAGCACGAACGCAGATATAATCGATTTGGAAGAAACTCTTTTCCCAGCCACGAAATCCTTCATATTAGCTGGATATCAGCACTATATTATACCGTATGAGCAGGGGAGACAAAGAGGGTTAATGACCCTAGTCAGGAACACCATACCCAGCAAGAAAATAGGCCCAGTTTCATGTGGGGATGGAGTAGAGGTATTAGCAGTAACAGTGAATATGGCTAATATTGAGCTCCTCATATACAACGTTTACAAGCCCCCTAGACGTAAACTAGAAGCAGAGGCAGTGCTTGCCTTGGCCACGCAGGAAAATGTAATTATTGCTGGGGATTTTAATGCTCATCATCAAGAGTTAGGTGCGACTGGGCCAGCCAATGCAGATGGGCGCCATTTAGCTGCAGCTCTGCGAGAAGTACCTGAAATTACACTTCTCAACACTGGGGAACCCACTCACATTCTAGGAGGTTCCCTTGATCTTACATTAATCTCAACAGCACTCAAGCATCAGGCGAAGTGGGAAGTAGACCCGGTGATCACCAGTGACCACTATGCTACTGTCACAACACTAAACATAGAACGACCTCCTACACCACCTGCACAACCTAGGTGGAATTTAAGAAAGGCCAATTGGAATATATACCAAGAAGAACTTGAAAAATGGTATGCAACATACACGCCACCTGAGGATTTGAACATACACGAGACCAATCTGCAGGAAGCCATTGCAGCTGCTGCAAACAAAGCTATTCCAATCATTATCACAGGAAACACAAAACGAAAGAACTATTGGTTCTATAGTAATGAAGTTAAAGAACAGAACCACAGAGTCAACATCTTCAGAAAACATCTAAAGAGAAACCCCACACCAGAAGGAAGAACTCTGCTAAGAGCGGTGATATCTGAAGCAAGACGAGTTTCTAGAGAAGTAAAGGAGGCAAGATGGTTTGAGTGGTGTCAAACTCTAAATGAACATAGTAGTCTTGGCAAGATATGGGGTCAGATTAAAACTATATCAGGTCGACCAGCCCGACCACAGGCATGTATTCAACCATTGCAGGAGGCTGAGAGACTTGCTCTCCAATTTGCAGAAAGAACAGCTTCATATCAGCTTCCTGCAATGGTCCGAAGGCAGCAAGAACAATTAAAACAAGAGAGGTTGACAGTCATTCATGAGAGCATAGCTACAAATGACGAATGTGACTGTCCCTTCACCAAACAAGAACTAATCAGAGCCAAAAAAGGTGGTAAGGACACTGCACCAGGTGCTGATAACATTACATACTCAATGATCGCACATGCAGGTCCTGCTGGAGAACAAGGAATATTGGACGTCATCAATGCATCTTGGCAGCAAGGCAAACTACCGACCTCTTGGAAGAAAGCAGACATCATACCGATTCCTAAGCCGAAAGAACCTGGCAATTACAGACCCATTTCATTAACATCATGCATTAGTAAAACTGCAGAACGGATGGTCTTAAATAGGCTACTGTGGAAGACTGGAGACCTTCATAAACACATATTTGGCTTCACTAGAGGAGTAGGTACTGCCAACTGCATAGCAACATTACTAGGAACAGTTAACTCGGGTCCAGCTATAGTGATCTTCCTTGATCTAGAAAAAGCATTCGAACTTGCAAGCCCGCAAGCAATTTTACACACCTTAGTTAAAAAAGGTGTAAAGGGAAAAATGCTAGCATGGATTCAAGATTACCTAAGTCACAGGTATGCCAGAGTAAAGTTGCAAGGACAAGTGTCGGACTACCACTTGCATGAGAATGGGACTCCACAAGGAGGAGTCCTCAGTCCTAGTCTTTTTAACATCCTTATGGAAAACCTTGTTACCATGACATTTACAGAAGGGGTTAAATTGCTAAGCTATGCTGATGATATAGCATTAGTCATTACAGGTCCTTCACTTCTAAATAAAGCACAAGGTGCATTAGATAAAGTAACATCTGAATGCAGCGTTTTAGGGCTAAAAATATCTGCACAGAAGTCTAAGGCAATGAGACTAGGCGGCAACACTCCAGACAGGCACCTACGCATTCAAGACATTAACCTTCAGTGGGTTACACAATATCAATATCTCGGAGTGTGGATAGATTTTAAAATGACATTCAACAAGCAAATTCAATATCTGAAGGAGAAAGCAAAATCACGACTAAATATAATGAGAGCAATCACAGGGCCCCGTCTAGGAGCGGGACACAAAGTGTTAAGAATGTTTTACATACACGCCGTTCGTTCCCTAGTTGATTATGCAGCGCCTGCCTTACTCACTCTTTCTCCTGGTCAGTGGGCAAACGTTGAGGTTATTCAAAACGATGCATTGCGAATCATAACAGGAGCTCCCAGATGGACTAAAATACTGAACCTAAGACTAGAAACCAAGCTAACGTCGATTGAAATAAGGGTAAAAGGGATTGCTGCGTGCATGCTGACCAAGATATTGACTAGACCTAGAATCAGTTCACTTAAAGATATAATCACTGGAGCACTAACTCTGGACAGAAGAGCCTCCAATAGCAACAGGTGGACCCATTGTGCGATAAACACCATCAATACATTCGATATAACAAACACAGTCACTGAGAAGGGTGTCGACGAAATACATGCAGACTTTGTTATGCAAGCCCCTTGGGAATCTCCGCCAGCAGACTTTAAGATTATGGTTATTGAAGGAAAAAAGAACCAGACAAATCCTCATCTGCTACGTAACATTGCACAGATGCATATAGAAGCAAACTTGGCATCCGACAGCTTCACTTACTTCACAGATGGATCAGTAGACCAGCAGGGACAAGAAACCGGAGCTGCAGTTAAAGCAGGAAACTCTGTAAATAGTTGGAGGCTCTCAAATGGGTGTTCGACTTTACAAACAGAGATGCTAGCCATTCAAAAGGCTTTGGAACATGCTCTTGCTGAACACCGACAACATGTTATCATACATACAGATTCGAGAACCGCCATTGAAACCTTGCAACAAGAACACATATGTGATAACATACATCTGATCACAAATGTCATATCATTAATGCAAACACTCAAACGACAAGGCCGACGGGTACTTATCAACTGGGTGCCAAGTCATGTGGGAATAATAGGAAATGACATTGCAGACGAAGCTGCAAAACTTGCAACTAAGAGAAGAAATGTAGACATTTACATACCACAGAGTCTATCACAGATTAAGAAAGTAATTAGAAACAGAGCAATGCAAAAGATGTACAGTGACCACAACACAGCAGTTGCAACATCAGGATCTGCGGGTTGGTACAAGAATTCAACCAACTACGAACCACTTAGTTTGATGAAAGGGAGCAGTAGAGCAACAGAAGTACACTTACATCGCATCAGGCTTGGATACCCATGTGCATGGGAAATAGGCTTACAGGTTCCGGAAGATGAGAGGAAATGTCAGCACTGTGGAGAAATGCCCGACAGACCACTGGAACATTATCTAACACAGTGCACAGTTACAAACCCATTAAGATTTCAACTTAGATTCAACAGAGCAGAAGAAGTTGTTAAACACATATGGCAAAATCTTACTAAAGCGACCATACGAGTAATAAATACTCATACTCCGCCCAAGTAAAACAGAAACAAGCAACACTTAGTGGGCCAGCCAGAGGCTTAGGGCCCGCGCAGGAATATCCCTGCAAAAAAAAACCCACATTCAACACATAACTAAGAAAGTCTCTAAAATAGTTGGTATACTCTCTAAAATAAAATATTATGTTCCTAACTCTGCTCTCCTTTCACTATATTATGCACTAATCTATCCTTATCTTAATTATGGTATCTGTGCATGGGGGTCTACCACTGCAAACCACCTTAAGCCCATCCTCACCCAGCAAAAATCTGCTATCAGAATAATAACAAACTCTGCTTTCAGAAAACACTCAGCTTCCTTGTTTAAATCCCTAAACTTGCTAAATATTAACTCCCTCCACACATTCTCTTGTGTCAACTACACTTACAAAACCCTGTTCTTAAATGCAAACCATGCCCTGAAACTCTCCCTGGACAGATGTAATAGGACCCATTATCATAACACCAGAAATAAATATCTCTTTGATATCCCCAGGGTCAAACTTAATCTGTGTAAACACTCTATGCAAATTAAGGGACCTATTCTATGGAACTCACTCCCTAGTGAATTGAAAAGCTGTCCAACTTTTGCCTCATTTAAAACCAAAATCAAAAAGTTCCTAATTTCATCTTCGTAGTGTCCTACACTGAGCTTTAAATTTGCTCTGTATCTAGTGTTACCCAATCTCCCAATCTTTATGTACTTAACCCAAACAACTTTATCATTGTGTTCATTGCTGTCTTCTTTTATGTGCTAGCCATATTCTGTATTGTGCATACTAGTTTTAGTTAAACTACCATTCAAGCTGTCATTGCAATTAATCTGAGCTACCTATGTGCTTTAATATAGCTACCTAAACTACCATTCAAGCTGTCATTGCAATCAATCTGAGCTACCTATGTGCTTTAATATACCTACAATTTTCTCTCATCTTTTATTTTTTTTCTTGCTATGTAACTGTTATCATTTTTATAAATTTTGCAAGTATTCACCTTCTTAAAATTTTCTTAGATTAAGGACCAGCCCGAAACGCTGCGCGTACTAGTGGCTTTACAAGAATGTAATTACTATGCTATGTATCCTCACAATCCCAATGTACCTTCTTGTATATATATATATAAATAAATAAATAAATAAATAAACAGTACAATTTCCAGTCAAGAATGTAGCACTCGGCGTAGGCAGTTCTAATCGTCTCCAAGACGCTACAGCTTCGACACAGAACAGACAGCAGACTAGGACCTCATCCAGCTACAACGCTCTCCCACATAGAGCTCCGCGACTCCGGCCTCACTCAGCTCTCTGCTCTGCTTCAGGCTTCGTCTCAACGTCTACGACACTGCTGTATTCAGGACTACTAAATAAATATGAAACCCACTAAACACTGTGTATCTAATCTACCCAACAACGTAACATAAACGTACGTTACATATGAATACACTCCGGCTTCCTGTCCCCCGACACAATGAATTAATTATGCTAATCGAGATTGATCTTGGAGCCGGGAAGTCTGGCGACGAGAGGCTGGAGCATCATCACAGAGGCAGCAAGCAGCAGCATGGAACCCATAACCAGATAAGGCACTACCATTCCCCCAGACACGTCCAGCAACATACCTGCCGAGAGAAGGTGGACTGGTTGATCAAGGCTATCGATGTGTTTTATAAAATAAAAATAAAATAAAATGTTTATTCAGGTAAGGTACATACATACAAGAGATTTTACATAAATTTAACGATTTATAGATGGAGCTAGTACATACAATGCCACTATTACGCCACTACTATTTCTGCCACTATTACGCAAAGCGTTTCGGGCAGAAACGCTAATTTCCTGTCAATATGTTGCTTTTCTCGCGTTATATCGTGTATAACGACCCTGGCTAAATCTCCTTGGTTTATTGCATTGTCTCCGGTTACTTTTGACTTTGGGAATTGTGTTTCATTACAAAATGTATAATGTGTGATTTATCAATGACCTGCTTGGAAAGGCTCTCAACCCTCGTAGTCCGGTTGACGGTAAGGATTCCCTGAAGATATTTACAATCTGTGCATGATTAGCACCTCTTTTAAGGAGTTCTATCCAGAGACAATATTTCCTTAATCATGGCGGCTTTGTTTACTTTTATTAAGTAGCTTATGAACTCCGAAGCGGTACCATGTTTTTTTTTTATTTAAATATACAAGAGTTCTTACATTGTTGTACAGCCACTAGCACGCATAGCGTTTCGGGCAGGTCCTTGATCCTTTTCTTTTTCCCCGGAATACGATTCGTAAAATCGTTTCATAACCAGGTACTCATTCACTGCACAGTGAACAGAGGATATAGTTAAGGATTGGCACCCGGTCAATCCTCCCCGTTCAGGATTGGTCAATGGCCTGGCCACCCAGGCCAAAGCGCTTGAGAAGCGCCAGGCAAGTGTCTTACCACTGCACCACCACAGGGACTGTAAGCTGTAAACGAGGACTATGTTGTTTATACCAGTGATAACCATGGGTTAGGAAACTTCAGTGCTCAAAAACTATTTAATAAATGTAAAAAAGCTGCCATGATTGTTGACATTTACCTAAATTTACCTGAAGTGAATTTACCTGATTTAACACTCTAAAGTGGCCTCTACGAGGACAGGAAGCCGGCGGCTTGTCAAAGGTCTTCCAATTTGCCCTGATGATTTTTTTCAGCTGGATTTCAAAATTTAACAGTTTTTAGCATTTGCAGCGGGTAGGCGGTTCCATAGGTTTATAGACCTGTAAGAGAAAAAGAATCTCCTGTTTTCAGTCCTGCATTGTGGCTTGTAGAACTTGAAACTGTTTATCCTTGTTTGTGTTACATCTGACCTTTTGAATAAGCTGTATGGATCAACATCCTCCAAACTGTTCAGTATTTTAAAAGTTTCGTTGAGATCAGACCTCTCATGCCTGGTTTGCAGTATTGTTAGCCCTGAGGCCCTCAGTCGTTCATGGTACGAGAGTTGATTTAGTGCTGGAATGATTTTTGTTGCCCGACGTTCTTTCTGAAGATGAAGTCTCCATGCTTGGATACAGTAATCTAAGTGAGGGTGCATCAGAGATTTATTCAATTGAATCACCAACTTTTCTTCTAAGTCAAAGGAACGCTTGATTATTTATTGGGTTTGGTTAGTTTTTTTTTACTGCTGCTCCTACCTGTTGTGCAACTTTCAGTGAATTTTGACCCCAAGGTCCTTTTCTTCATCATAAATCTGTTGCAAGGTAATGTTATTAATTTGGTAGTTGTGGCATGGGTGTGTTATGCCCCACATTCAAGGTCTTGCATTTGTCGATATTAAGGAGCATATGCTAGTCTTTTGACTATTTGTGAAGATCGTGTAGACATGTTTGGGTTTCATAAGTGGTTGAGTAAATGCTTGATGAATCCTGATCCAGGTCTCAGGTTCAAAGCACTTTATTGGGTGCCGACTTACGATATGTGTACCTCTCATCTCGGCCATGGTGGGTTAGTCAATACAACGAGCTCTTAGGAGCTATGAAGTCGTCTTCAACCCAACGTTATAGCCACAATGTAGGACTGAGAACAGGATATACTTTCTCACCCACAGGGCTATTAACACATGGAACCGCTTACCCGCCGAAGCCGTAAATGCCAAACTGTGCTGAATTTCAAAATATACCTGGAAAAGATCATCAAGGCAAATGGGGGAGGGGAACCTTCGACAAGCCGCCGGCTTCCTGTCCTCGTCGAAGCCACTAGAGTTAGTGGCCCTCAGGTAAATCAGATTATCATTGCTGTAGCTGCAGTGCTTTAACGCTTGTAGACTGTTTATTAAACATCAAATAAGATGATATGATCGTGATAAGAGGTACAGATCTCGTAAGTGAGCGCATATAAGTTCTTTAAGAAGTCGTAAATGCCAAGAAATTACTCAAGTTTTAAATCCCGACAAAAATATTCATGAACAACAAGAGGACCTTTGATAAGCCACCGGCTTCCTGTTCCTATCGAGGCTGCTCAATGGAGAGAGTGGGCCCTCAGGTAAATAATAATATTTGCCCTACCGTCCACTTCCTTACCAATAATGGTTGGGTAGAAAAAGCTGCAGACTCCTTGAGTCATCCGGAAGAACCCCCAGGTAGAGGCCATCGCATCAGGTCCAAACTGGTCTGCCAACAACACGCTGATGAGGGTCCAGAAGGAAGCCATGCAGAAGGCATGTAAGGTGGAAGCGGCCATAAGGTGCCACAGCCTGGAGCAGAGAGGCACTAGCAGGCACCCTGCCCCGCCCGACATTAGCCTGCACGGGGCGGGAACTCGTTACCATCTGCCACACATCGAGCGCCTCACCCTCAGGAGGATATGAGACTCACAAGAAAACTATAAGAACATAAAAATTAAGAAAACTGCAAGGCCTGTTGGCCCATACGAGGCAGCTCCCGTAGAAGCAAAAACAACGATACGAATGATATTTAATTGGGCAAATTAATATCTGGGTAAATACTGGTTTGGCTGGGTAATTACTATTTTATTGTCTGCTTGAATTACATAATTTGTTTAAAGCATTATTTGCAGAATATCTTACGACACACCAAGTAGTAGAACATGAACAAGCTATATATATACAAGCAAGTTTGTTTACATACCCGGCAATAAAGGCGTAGCGCGTCTTGAATAGGTTCATGTTAGTGATCCAGCCACACAAAAGTCGAATGCAAAAGTCACAGCCAGATACGTACGACGCGACTATTGAATTTTCATACGGACTCAGCCCGATAGATTTACCGTACACCGGAGAGTAAAACAGAGCATTCGGCATTGCAGCATTGGCAAACATACCCATTACTAGGTACATCACATAGGCCGGGTTCTTAAAAACAGTGAAATCTAGCGGTTTCTTTTTCGATCCCGACTCCAGCACTTTCAGGCGAGCAGCTGTAGCCTCAGTGTTATCCACATCTCCTCGTTGAAGATTTTTTTTAATCTGTCTCTTGTATTTCTCGTAGATAATAGTTTTGTGTAACTCAAACGGCCTCATAAGTAAGCCAAACACAAGCATCTGCAACATAATGCCCGCGAGCATCATGAAGGTACCCCTGAGGCCAAAATGATGATGCAAGAAGACTACTAACGGAGGGAACAGGATCCCTCCCATGGGGTTACCTGCTGCGCGTAATCCATTAGCCAGAGCTCTCTTCTCCTGGAAGTAATCAGTCACCGTCAAAAACCCCGGAGTCTCACTCATGCAAAGGCCTGTACCTGAAACACAAACACTTAAAATTACAAATTGAAGTCTCAAAGCATATTTTATGCTTTGAGCATAAAAAAGCATAAACAAGAGACCATATAAAGCCATTTCCTCTTTTAGCGCCTCAGCGTGGCAATACTGAGGGGAAATGCACACTGCCTCTGCTCACCATCTGGGGAGCTAGAGGAACTCTACAATAACCTGTGAAAAAAAAACTCGTACCTTGCACGTAACCAATGTTATAACCAATTTTGTGTAATGAAGTTTTTAAATAAAATAAAATAACAAATTACAATTACGTAACGGGTGGTAGGAGAAGACAATATGTGAGTGTACGCGAGTGCCCCACAAGGCTCCCCCGGAGCATATGGAGCATGCAGCATATTGTCTTCGAGATGGGGGGGTCTCTACAAACGCAACCAGAGGGGTACCTATTTACCAGGGCCAGTTTCGTCCCTGGCAAGTAATTTTTCAAAGAAGGCACCAAGCCGAGAAAGAATATGTAACACTCGCCCCCTGGCAAAGTCGAGTGTCTTACTGACCCACAAGTCCACCGAGAGTGAAGGCCATGTAGAATATGGAGAAGGCTGGGACGGCGAGGAGGAGGCCGCCGGCGGCCAGGAGGGTCCCAGCCAACACACACACCCTGGGCCCCACCGCCACCGTCAGCGCCCCCATCACCGGTGCTGCAACAACCACACGCTGTCACTCCTCGTGCCATTGATATGAAGTAAAGAGTAAACAAAATTGACTTCCGTTTTACCAAATGTATTATTTTTGTTATCATGCATGTCACCTGCGTTTGTAAAACTTAACAACCATTTCTATTCATACAATAACTGTGTTGAATGAAGTGTAAATAAAAATTGTACCACTAATGTCCCATACAAATGTGTGGGATAACTCAATGACAGCCACAAATGGCCGCCATTGGCCATTTTGGAAATTATCTTTCTTTTCATTGGTTTGGCTTAAAATGTTGCATGGTATAAGCTAAGATTCCTGGCAGCACATCATTATGAATGAAGTACTTACACATTTCTTGGACACCATTGATAGTGTTATCTCTGAATTCCGCGATTTTTTTTCACATTCCACAAATAAATTCCTAGACCCTCCCTCATAAACTGACAAAAATTGTACTATTCACAATTTTAAACCAAACCAATAAAAAGATGCTTTTGAAAATGGTCAATGGTGATAATCTTGAATTTGTTGCTGTCATGGAGTTAGCGAACACTTTCCGGAGGGGAATAAAAGTTCTTATCTACTCTTCATATAACACAAATCCACTGAGAAATGAACCTTTGCTCTCAACGGTCACGGAAATACTGAAAATGACACAACTAGTATGCGATATATTATGTGCTTTAAATATTTGTTTTTCGTGTGCAACTGGATAGGGGACTTTTAAATACCTTAGCAGTTTAAGGGTTAAGCAAAATACGAATTTGAGTTGTTGCTTTATGTGGGATATTTAACACACGAAAACTTCACTGATTACCTTTCAAAATTACTAAAAAATATGACTCGGTCGAAAATGACAATCGGGTATTAAATTGATGGCAGTCAACACCACGTACTCACAAAGTAGTCCCCGGCAGCCTACGAGCAGACCAACGACCCATCCCGCAGCAGCACCTGAGATGTCGGGGAAATAATCCAGCACCAGGATGTAGAGGATGCCAAAACTCTTGACGTAGCCAGCAGTCACAAGGTTAACACTAAATACCATGCCCGCCACCAGCCACGCGTACCTGCCGGCATGAAGCTCGTGACCCACTACCCCATTGTTGTAGTCAGTCTCTATCACTCCTCGAATGTTGTAGTCAGTCCCCATGACTTCTGAAATGTTGTAGTCAGTCCCCATGACTCCTGGAATGTTGTACGCAGTCCCTATGACTCCTGGAATGTAGTAGTCAGTCTCTGACTCCTGGAATGTTGTAGTCAATCCCTATGACTCCTGGAATGTTAAAGGTAGTAACTGCTTGCTGGAAATTTTAGGTCAGTCATCTTTTATTGGATTATTTTAATGAGTCCATGCATGTTAAAAATATGTAAGCGTTTGAGTTGTGAAAGCAGACCTTCTGCAAGTACCTACCCTTCATCCTGGACTCTGGGAAGTGGGGGAAGGTCATCCGCTGCTGGCGGAGTAGCCACCTCTGGAGGAGTGTTTGCAGGGAAGGATGCCACGTATGGATGTATGTTGGTAACGGCGGACACCACCTCTGGAGGAGTGTTTGCAGGGAAGGATGCCACGTATGGATGTATGTTGGTAACGGCGGACACCACCTCTGGAGGAGTGTTGGAGGCGGAGGACGCCACGTATGGTGGTATTTTGACAGTGGAGGATGCCACGCATGGAGATGTGTTGGGAGAGGATGAAGCCACCTCTGAAGAAATGTTGGGAGAGGATGAAGCCACCTCTGAAGAAATGTTGGGAGAGAAAGAAGCCAACTCTGGAGATATGTTGGAAGGGGAGGAAGTCACTTCTGGAGGAGTGTTGGTAGCGGAGGAAGACGCCTCTAGAGGTATGTTGGTAGCGGAGGAAGACGCCTCTAGAGGTATGTTGGTAGCGGAGGAAGACGCCTCTAGAGGTATGTTGGTAGCGGAGGAAGACGCCTCTAGAGGTATGTTGGTAGCGGAGGAAGACGCCTCTAGAGGTATGTTGGCAGCGGAGGAAGCTGTAGAGACGTGAGCAGACGGAATCGCAGGTGTTACAGGGGCTGAGGAGGCCTCTGTTGCTGGTGAAGACGAGCCCGAGGGAAGAGTAAGTTGATTCTCATAGGGCGTTTGACGGTAGCATTTCAGGACAACGACACCGTCCTCTCTTCCATGCTCTGGAAGATTTTTAACCAAGTTATTTGTAATTAATTCTCCGTTTACATAGTCTAATGCAGTCAAGGAGTCATCCAAAGAATTGGCCCTACGATGTTTACAATAACGATCAGCTGTCCATTACACATGACGTATTCTCCCCTATAGTGATATCCAGCTAAACACACGACGAAACTACGACCTTGCAACAACATTCGAACACGTTTTTTAGCACTTCCCAACAAGTTGTAACAACGTTCTAATTCGTCATAAAAACGTTACACCAATATGTAACAACTTTATTACAAGTTGTAACAAGCGGAAAATAGGGACAGTTACGGTTTGTGTTTGCAGGGATTTCGTCATAGCTACGTATACCTCTAGCTTAAGAACGAATTTATATTTTTACAATAATTTATTTAATTATGTATCTCTGACGATCGTAATGCTACAAAAGTCTTTAATATCTCAGGAACACCCCCTCCCTCTCTTTTTTTTTAATCTTGATTTGCCACAACATACAAAATATAAAATGCTTATCTGATCAGAAACGTACGAACCCCAGCTACCCACCTAACCTAACTAACCGTTGCATAGAAAACGTAGATATCTAAGTCGCCATTTTTCCTGCTTAACCTAAGGAAATAGTTACGAATCTGGACCAGACCTGACTCACGCAGGGAAGAATGGAGCGCCATCCTTGACCTTACTGACAGGATTGCTTCAATTCCTTGAGTAGGAGGGTGCCAAGGTCCAACTTGATGACTGGGGCAGGTTGGAGGGTTGTTGACAAGACACTGTACACGTTGGAAAGGTGTTGTCAGAACACTGTACAGGTTGGAAAGGTGTTGTCAGAACACTGTACAGGTTGGAAAGGTGTTGTCAGAACACTGTACAGGTTGGAAAGGTGTTGTCAGAACACTGTACAGGTTGGAAAGGTGTTGTCAGGACACTGTACAGGTTGGAAAGGTGTTGTCAGAACACTGTACAGGTTGGAAAGGTGTTGTCAGGACACTGTACAGGTTGGAAAGGTGTTGTCAGAACACTGTACAGGTTGGAAAGGTGTTGTCAGAACACTGTACACGTTGGAAAGGTGTTGTCAGGACACTGTACAGGTTGGAAAGGTGTTGTCAGGACACTGTACAGGTTGGAAAGGTGTTGTCAAAACACTGTACAGGTTGGAAAGGTGTTGTCAAAACACTGTACAGGTTGGAAAGGTGTTGTCAGGACACTGTACAGGTTGGAAAGGTGTTGTCAGAACACTGTACAGGTTGGAAAGGTGTTGTCAGAACACTGTACAGGTTGGAAAGGTGTTGTCAGGACACTGTACAGGTTGGAAAGGTGTTGTCAGGACACTGTACAGGTTGGAAAGGTGTTGTCAGGACACTGTACAGGTTGGAAAGGTGTTGTCAGAACACTGTACAGGTTGGAAAGGTGTTGTCAGAACACTGTACAGGTTGGAAAGGTGTTGTCAGGACACTGTACAGGTTGGAAAGGTGTTGTCAGAACACTGTACACGTTGGAAGGGTGTTGTCAGAACACTGTACACGTTGGAAGGGTGTTGTCAGGACACTGCACACGTTGGAAGGGTGTTGTCAGGACACTGTACAGGTTGTATGGTTGCATGTTGAAAGGTTGTTGACAGAATAGTGTACAGGGGCGAAACTCGTTGCCTAAACAATGTGCAGAAATTATATTTGTTACCAGGAAAGTGTGTAATTTTGTATGTATATGTTACCCATCTAAATGTATACGCTACCTATTTAAATGTATATACTAATTAAATGTATATAATATCTAAATGAATATAGTATCTAAACGTATATGCTTTCTAAATGTATATACTATCCAAATGAACATATCTAAATTAATATATTTTCTAAATGAATATACCTTCAAATGAACAAATCCACGAGGGCCGTGACGAGGATTCGAACCTGCGTCCGGGAGCATCCCAGACACTGCCTTAATCGACTGAGCTAGCCCCTGTGGATTTGTTCATTTGATGCATCACGTTAGTGTGATCTCTGTGTGTACCATCAAATGAATGTACTATACAAATATATATATTATCTAAATAAATATGTTATCTAAATGTAAATATTATACAATGAATATACTATCTAAACTATCTAATTCAAAATACTATTTAAATGAATGTAATATCCAAATTCATGTTCAGTATTATCTAAATGAATAAACTATCTAAAATCTAAATAATTTCATTTAACTTTTTTGTAACATGTTTGTCAATATATGTTATTTATATAACCCTTGAAACTAAAACTGCTTACTAATTAGGCTCATCAAAATTGTTAATGATTTATGCAAATTTCTTAGAATAAAACCTCTTATTCTGATTATATAAATGAGAAATTAAAAAAAAAATTGGTTGAAATGATTTGCGTATAAGTGGCGTTGTTAAAAGTTTATTGTAACAATTAATTAGCCACTGTATCATGTTCTGTATATTTTTAATATAAGTTATTATTTTTATTATTGCACAGAAAATTACATTAACGTGATGTATCAAAGAGATAATCAGTAGGAGCCGTGATGAGGATTCGAACTTATGCTCTGGGTACTCCCAAGCAAATGCTTTTTATTATTATTATTATTATTATTATTATTATCAGTAGAGCCCTCTATTGAGTACAGAAGTAACTATTCCCCAGCTGACTAGTCTGAACCAGTAGCATTGAAACCTGTACTGGTATAAAGATTATGACGTCAAAGTGAAGTCGCACGTTCGTACACAGCTCATATAAAACACATGTTATTTTGTTTTTTTGAGATATATACAAGAGTTGTTACATTCTTGTACAGCCACTCCTATTTTTCGTTATGTTACGTTGCGTTACATTATGTTATGTTAGGATAGATTAGGGAAGGTTGAGTTAGAATAGATAGGTTAGGGTAGGTTGAGTTAGAATAGTGTTGGTTAGGTTTTCTTATAGAATAGCGATGAAGTAAAAGAGTGCAATCATTTCATTAAGCCTTAGACCTTACTCGGAGGACAGGGCAGCCTATTCTCCATAGATAATAAGAGTGTAGCTGCTATTGATATCTGTACAAAATATGAACTGTTGCAGACAATGAAAGCTCATGTGTCTACTAATTTTGGAGGTCTTGGAAAAATGGTCACAACTAAACCCAACTTTTTCTAAGCCTAATATATAAATATATTATATATATATTTACTAAATTAGTGCTAATTTTCTGTATGTCTCGCTTAGGAATGTACTAAGTTTAGTAAGGCTATTAGAACAAGCTATATTAATGTTATGGTTAGGCTCTGTGTGTGTGTCTGTGTCTGTCTGGTTTCTAGGTGTATATGTACTAAACATACATATACACCTGGTGTAGTTCTGGTGTACGTTTACAGGTAGAGTATAATTGCTACATAGCGAGAGCTACTGTGGGGCCTTAACAACCCTGCCGCCAGTGATCCCAACAACATTGTAGCAAGGTTATCGTGTGACTACAACACAACATTATAGCAAGGTTATCGTGTGACTACAACACAACATTGCAGCAAGGTTATCGTGTGACTACAACACAACATTACAGCAAGGTTATCGTGTGACTACAACACAACATTGCAGCAAGGTTATCGTGTGACTACAACACAACATTGCAGCAAGGTTACCATGAGGCTACAACACAACACAACATTGTAACAAAGTTATCCCGTGACTACAGTATAACATTTATTTATTTATTTATTTTATTTATTTATTTATATACAAGAAGGTACATTGGGTTTGTGAGAATACATAGCATAGTATTTACAATCTTGTAAAGCCACTAGTACGCGCAGCGTAACATTGTTGTAGAATGGCTTGTAGCAATGGACCTCCAGACGTATATCAAGGAGTGGGACGAAAGGGGCATGAAACTAGAAGACCGCAACACACACAATCATAATTGAGAACATAAAGAACTGACCTTGCTCCTTGTTAGTGAACTACCATTATGCTGGTGGTGTTTCATGGCGCGTCGTGCTGGGCTGGGCCGGGACTCATCAAGCATTTACATGACCATTTTTGAAACCTGTACAGCTTTCCTCGAATATGGCGGCGTAGTCTGTATTTATTAAGAAGTTTACGAGCTTGGAAACTTAGGAACCTCTTGTTATTACTGTCAAAGGCAACCTCAATGCGATTCTTTAAAGTGTTTAATAAATGTAAATAAAGTCACCAAGATTGAGGAAAGATATACAGGTTTCAAAAGTGGATTAGTGGAGACTTGAGTATTTATTGAATCCTGGCAGCAGACTCGTTGCTAGGAGATTGTACCGCTTTGTATTGTGAACAGTGAACTGAATTGATCCAAATTATGTGACAAATTAGCGCTTAAATTAGTTACAACAATATTTAGCAAGATTGGCGCTATCCAAAAACCTAGAAGCCAATATTATTGGAAAACTGTAAACATTAATGTGCAAGATCACGTAGGCTATTAAGTCTGGCAGTGTGTGTTGTCGAAGCAACACGGATAACCTTCACCATAAAAACAGTAGGTTAACTAAACCAGGCTGTGGTGGGTATGTGGGCCTGCGGGCCGCTCCCAGCAACAGCCTGGTGGACCAAACTCTCACAAGTCACGCCTGGCCTCGGGCCGGGCTTGGGGAGTAGAAGAACTCCCAGAACCCCATCAACCAGGTAACCAGGTTACTATTGGTGTAAAGTTGGCCACAGGCCGTAGCCCAGTAATCAGCTCCAAGTGCAATGGGGCCGGGTTCAATTCCAACAACAGGACAGATTCCTTTGCCAACGTTTTCTTGCACCTGATGGCTCTGTTCACCGAGTAGTAAATAGGTACCCAGGAGATAGGTTACTGTTGTAGGGTAGCATTTATGGAGGAGGGGGAGGGGCTCAGTAGTTGGCCCCTCTATAACGAGAAACAAAGCTAGCGTCCGATGCTAGTGGAACTCAGTCAAAACGATTCTTAGTGTTATTGATATTTAATGCATTACATTTGTACTTGGCGAGTAGAAATTTAATGTAAAATATGAAACTTGTACACTAAGAAAATAGCTGAATCAGGTCAGTACTTTCAATAATTATCGTCTATCAGCTCGGTACTGCTCAACTTTGCTTGCCATATTTGCTTGTGAAACTGTGAATAGAGATAACCTCACCTATTTCCTCTTTTAAGAGGAAACAAATTATCAGTAAAAAGGTCTTTCCTCACATTTGAGAGGTGATACAACCTCTCAAATTGTGTGGCTGCTGGGAATGTTCTCTCGTTACAATACTGCTCAACATAAATACCATATCTGTATATACTTCTACAGGACCTTGAGTATTTTATATGTATGGATCATGTCCCCATTTATTTCTCCTCTCTGGTGTTTGAGTGCATGTGATCCATGACCCCAAATAATTCTTTACTAATGACTTTTGATTAAAAACTAAAAATTGTGTGCCAAATTTTATTTGAAGTCCATTCCTGATTCCAACAAGAAATAATGACGTGATTTAAAAATACATCTTTCTCACCTGTTTTGTTGCAAGACATATTAGCTGTGAGTGCTAGTGACAGGTGAGCTGCTGCTAGAGGCACTGTGAGGCTGTAGTGAGAGGCAGCACTGAGGAGCTCAACTCACCGGAGTAATCCCATGACACTGAGGAGCTCAACTGTCCGGGGTGCTCAAGATACTGGAACGCATCCTAGATAACGAGGTCACAATTGCCAAATCATCATGCAATTGCTCGCAATACTGACAGCCTTCTCACGACCGCGTATTTAATTTTGCGTTTTCTTTTCCACATTTGACGATTTTCGCTTTACATGATATTATATCAAATAGAAACCCTGATGCTTCCTGAAATAAAGTTATGCACAGAGAATACTTTAGACGGTACTCCATGATGCGGGCGTTATGGAAGATTTCGACGTGTAGCCCGTTTTCTGTGCCTTGTGATCGCCATGGAGGTGGAACGCTGGTAATTATTTAATTTTGCTGTTTTCAGGCAATAGAATCTGGGCGGGTACATCCTCGTTGCAGGCTGGTGGCATCAGGGTGGGTATTGCCTTGCCACCGTCAACGACTGCGTCAGGGTGGGCACTATCTTGCTGTCGACGACTGCGTCAAGGTTGGTATACTGCTTTACTGTCGACGACTGCGTTAGGGTTGGTATACTGCTTTACTGTCGACGACTGCGTTAGGGGTTGGTATACTGCTTTAATGTCGACGACTGCGTTAGGGTTGGTATACTGCTTTAATGTCGACGACTGCGTCAGGGTTGGTATACTGCTTTACTGTCGACGACTGCGTTAGGGTTGGTATACTGCTTTAATGTCGACGACTGCGTCAGGATGGGCACTGCCTTGCTGTCGACGACTGCGTCAGGGTGGACACACACCTTCCTCATTCCCTACCTAGCGTAAATACCTAAGTGTGGTTACAGGACGAGAGATACGTTTATGGTATCACGTATTTTCGGTATTCTTTCATATGACGCTTTGAATACTTCATATTATTGTCCATGTCTGTCACTATGTGTTTTTTTTCGGCCATAAGATGATTTCCTTATTGATACGAGAGGTATGTATTGGCAGGTAAACCTTAATACTGTGGAATATTCTCCCACGTATACTTTGCCACCACTAATGTAAGGTGGTTGTATATACTCTGCCGTGGTGGAGTGGTTAGTTCTGCTGCTGGTCTGAGCCGGATACTGACGTGGAAGCTCTCTTGGCTCTGTTGGTCAGGGGGATGTGAACCCCGTGTGTGTAAGCTGGTTCGTACCAACGATTAGGGAACCGGACCTAATGGTTCGCATTAGGGATGCAAACGCTTGTTCGCATCCCTAATGTGAGCTGTCCATCTCCCTACGTCAGTGTCTCATCCCTGTTCCGTGTATTTTGACAACCATTATCACGGTGCCAGAGCGCCTACGTTATCAATACACAATTATCTCTGACCCACTTGCCAGGTTTACATCTTATACCTCACAGTGCTACACTGTATGTACTCATCTTCCACCTACCATTCTCACAGTGTCTCACTATATGTGGAGTTTATGAGGGAATATATTGATAGAATTTAGCTTCTAAATAGTAAAGTGCTAGATGAGTAAGTGACCACAAGGTGGTGGTACTATTGTTACAAAACTATGTACTCCATTATTTTAACTTTGAATAAAATATAAGTTGACCAATTTCTTAATTCATTTGGGAAAGGAGACCCCATATACTGGGGCCTTTTATTTGCATAGTGTGTTTGCATATATTTAATATAACTCTGGGAATATCAAATACATATTTCTGCTGTGATGTTCATGGGTTCTATTACAACCTTTTGGGAACAATTTCAGGTTAGGTTTAGTACTGACATACAGGTTTTGTTTACGTGAAAAACACCCATGTGCATGTTTGTCGTGTTTAGTGTATTGGTGCTTTTACTGCACTAGTCCAAGGAACAGACCTGTTGCAGGAAGTTTAGAACAACCGAAGCTAACATATGATATTTTTTCTTTTAATTAAAAAAAAGATTAACCATCTTCAAAATAAAACTTGATAAATACCTTCATTGGATACCTGATCAACCAGACTGTGATTCATACGTTAGATTGCGAGCAGTGGGGTCTAACGGCCTAGTTGACCAGGCTACCAATCAGGAGGCCTTGTCAGAGACCGAGCCGTGAGAACATCAATTCCAAGAACCATCACAAAGTACATGGTACGTAAAAATGACAAATCTACAATCCCTGAAAGAGCTGGAACTCCACAGTATATTATCCAAAGGACCCAATCTGTGGAAGATTCGGTGTATCATGTTGAATGGAAAAAAACACAAAAGACAACTTTTATGGGCTATTTATTAATAATATGATATGACTACCCAACCCACACAACTGAATATATATATATATATATATATATATATATATATATATATATATATATATATATATATACATATATATATATATATATAAAGTTTCGGTTGGTTCTAGACCATAATGAAGTCTTGTAAAGCTCCAGGACAGACCGAAACGTCGTCACCTCTTTATTTTTTAGATGTACGTGTGGTTGGGGATCAACTCTTCAGCCACGTTATTGTGACATATCGTCTAACCTCATTGGGTTTAGTTATCTACAGATGTCCTCCTCCCGAGACCAGTATGCGAGTGTGTACGTCGACATTGGTGGAATCATCAGAGTTCTAATTAATGACAACAATTTACAGTTCTTCGCTGATAGTTTACCAATTGATGATCACAGTATACCACACATTGTTCTGATACTTTATTAATTGATGACAAAAGTATATCATACTTTATTTACTGTTCAAAAATATAATTCTGCAAATACAAAATATATCCGATCGGGCAGGATACTTTAGGATATCTATATCATTCTATATCTATACAGACGCATTCATGAATTTTAATATGCATTCCAGTCAAAACAGGAATTTTCTTAAATATAAATTAACATTATAATATATTAGCATATTGAGCATATATAGGAATAGGTTAGGTGTTTAGGTTCTGTTGGTGATTATATGTATTTGAAGTACGTGGGTGAAGCATTTACAGCGTTGTGGTTCGAACAAAATTCGTCAGCGAAGCACTTGTTCTGGAAGTGTTTGAACGAAATCAGTTGTGAATCGTGTGTAAACCGTTTTTCATTCATAAACAGGGGGCTTGGTGGGTGGATGGAATCACTTTTGGATCTTTGTTTGGAGGACGGGCTGGCTGATGACGTTCGAGCATTTCTCGAACAATGCTTCGCTGACGACCTCTGTTCAAATCGCAACTCTGTAACCCAATCCTACCTCGACTCAAGTAAGTAATTATCAAAAGAAGGCACCAAACCGGGAAGGCTATGTAGCACCATCAAATGTGCGGAATAATCAGAGGGCGCTAAATATCACCAAGGATGCCAATACGGGAACAAAAACGCATAAGGTGAACGATATCAAAAGTATCCGAGTCACCAAGAATTCCATTGAGGGACAGGGGACAGCGAGGGGCAGTCGGAAAACAAGACACACGCTCGTCCCGGAAGTCAGGACATTCAAGAAGGACATGCATGACCGTAAGAGGGACAATGCAATTAGGACAATAAGGAGCAGGGCGGCGTTCCATCAAGTGACCATGGGTTAAGCGAGTATGTCCAATACGCAACCTCGCCAGAGCTGTTTCCCATCGCCGGTTACGGTGGCAGGAGGACGGCCACGAGGAAACACAACATTTAAGAGTACGAAGTTTGTTACCAGTAACAGACGACCAAGAAGCCTGCCAACGGGTAAGAATGGAGGAATGGATAACCGGGTAAAAGTCGGAATATGGAATACCTTTACGAGAGATGCGACAAGAGCGGACAGCTTCCTTGGCGGCAGCATCAGCACGCTCATTTAAAGACACACCAATATGGCTGGGAACCCAACAAAACTCAACCGACTTAAATTTACTGTGGACAAGAAACAGCCAACGCTGGATCTTGACAACTACTGGATGAACCGGATTAAAGGACCCGAGAGCCATGAGGGCACTACGCGAGTCAACAACAACTACAAAGGAAGACTGACAACGAGAAAGCAGGAGACGAAGAGCATAGAGAATAGCATAAAGCTCCGCTGTAAAGATGCTAGTCTCCGGAGGTAAGCGACACATATAAGTGCGATCAGGAAAAACAACAGAGTAGCCAACACTCTCTAAGTCCGCAGACTTAGACCCATCAGTGAAGACAAACGGAGCAGGACTGAGAAGAAAAGTGCTCTAGGAAAAGGCGTTTTAGAACCGTTGGAGGGGTAAAAGCTTTAGTGATGCGGGTCAAGGATGTACAAAACTGCGGAAGGGGGACTCTCCAAGGGGGAAAAGAAGGAACAACACGAGGAGAAATATTAGAAACACGAATGGAAAAAGAATCCTGTAAGCGAGATAACCGGACAGAAAGAGGGAGGTGGTGAAGAGGAACAGGAACCGCAGGAGGGGTAAAAGTTAAAGCACGACAGAGGCGAGAGGAAGGATGTTGTAAGGATCGCGCAAGATAGCGAAGACAGTAGCGATCACGGCGGTCCTGGAGAGACAGGAAGCCAGTGTCAACATACAAGCTAAGGACGGGAGTCGAACGAAAGGCACCAGAACTGAGGCGCAACCCAGCATGGTGCAAAGCATCAAGACGGCGAAGAGTAGAAGGAGAAGCAGATGAGTAAGCAAGGCAACCATAATCGAGCTTAGACAGGACGAGAGAGGAATGTAAAGCAAAGAGAGTGCGCCTATCCGCTCCCCAAGAAGTATGGAGGTAAACATATCTCTTACCTCCATATCAACACGGAGGTAAGAGATATGGGGAGACCAAGACAAACGAGTGTCAAGGAATAACCCCAAAAGCTTCGCGGAATCTTTGTACTCAAGGGGATGACCATAAAGTGACAAAGAGGGACGAAGAACGACCCGTTTTCGAGTAAAAGACATGACACAAGTCTTAGAAGTAGAGAACTTGAAGCCATGATCGGTGGCCCAAGACGACACGGCATCAATCACAAGTTGAAGCCGGCGCTGAAGTAGAGGCGAATCATCACCCTGACAGCAAAGGGTAAGATTATCGACATAGAGCGCAGAGAAGACACCTGAAGGAAGAGAGGAAAGAAGACCATTGAGGGCAACCAGAAAA